GCTAGTACAGTGAAGTACAGTGCCCAACAAAAAAAAAAAATCAGCATATGATGCCCTTCCCTTATAGCCAGAAACTCATCACGTGCTTGGGAACCACTGTCTCGTGTGAATGTAACTGAATTATTACGCCGACTTCTGGTTAAAAGAGAAAACTGATTTATCTCTTCAAAATAATAATAATAAAAAAAAACGTGGAAATGTCTTTAAAAACTGGCTTTGCCCAAATTTTCTCTTGCTGCCCAAAAAATCTGAGTTGCCCAAACTTTGGGGGGGCTGCAGCCCCCCTCGCCCCCCCGGCCCGTACGCCTATGTAACCCGGTATACAATCCATCACATTCTGCTCCAGTTCTTGGGACATCGGGTGGAAGTGCTGTCTTCGTAGGCGTCCCAGCAGGTGGAGCAAATGAACATGGGGTACAAGAGATGATCGTTGCTAATAGCAACTCAACTGTGCCGGAAATTAGGGACAATGTTCTGTTTCCACCCGCGCTAACTTTTGAGAGGCAACGAAATGCAAGCGCCAAGTTACCAGTGCAACCTCCCCCGAGCTACGAAGCGACTGTCAGAGAAATACTACTTTAAAACACAATCAGCGTTAACAATTGGTTCCCCCATTTATGGTGCTATAATTTAACACTGCAAATTTATAATTTGCTCCGATTCAATATCGAACGACCTATTTTAGGGGAAAATGATATGATGCACATGTCAAGGGTACATAATTTGGCTCGTCGCTAAAATAATACTTTCAGATTCTTGAAGCATCTGTGAACCGTCACAGTGGAGATCATAGAGCGGAAGTATAAAATAATTATTGTTTCATAGTTATAACGATATAGTATTCTCTGTGACATACAGGGTGTCCCAACAGTTCGTTCCTCTACTTTATAAGTCTGCATTTCAGTACGATTGGACTTGGTAAGCAAATCATTGAAACGAAATTTGTATTTCAATCTAATTCACCACTATCATACTTGTTGTGCCATTTTTTGACTCGAATATTCGATTTGTGTACTTCTGCGCGAAAGGTGCGCGTGCGCGAGTATATTTTCCAGCCACAAATTTTTGTATTTTATATCCCGAATTGCTCGAACTCCTGAACTCCTTTTGTGAATGTCATGAAAGATAAATCCCCTTAACGCAAAAACGTTCAACTATTTTAGGGGATGAGCATGTATAATTCGATTTACTGGCTTATCTGTCGTAGACACTGCTAAAAAATCTGGAAAATCCAAATGCTGGGTGGTAAAATGATCATGGAGGAATGACGGTTTTAAAGCCAAGAAATGAAGGGGAAGACCAAAACTCCAACCTCGTCACCAGGACTTTTCCCTTAAAAAATGGGTGGGGTACGAGGTTGTACGAGTATTCACCCCTTTTTCCTCAGGGATAATATATAGATTTAGCCACAGCTAAAAGCGAAGCTCCCATGGATAAATTTATAACTTAAATCAAACAATAATTTTGTATTCCACAAATCAGTTAACTTAAGGGCACATTCATGTGACTTCTGAGGGAAAAGCTAAGTGATTTTGGAGTGAAACAAACCTTGTATCGAGCTGACATAGCCTTATATGTACAGACAAAAAATAGTCTTCGGTCACATTTATGAGCAATAATGGCTCTTGATCACAGTAGATAAGGCGTGGAAAACAAGTTCCTGGAAAACAAATCAGGCCGAATTTTTTGCGTTCGACAAGATTACAAATTGTTGCCAATAAATCTGGGTGCGTGCAAACCATTCTTTTATTTATTTATTTATTTTTTTTATACACCACATCTGAGGAGAAAGAGTACTATGAGGCGCTTTTTCTATCATACAGACCTCGTACAAAATGCAGTATTACACAATTTTTCGAGACAAATTGCATTCATTCAATACTCAGGATTATCGAAGCACGCGTGGACTTTTAATCAGCGAAACCGTTCAAAAAATTTCCAAAATCACCTATACGGCCAGCCGGTTCTAACTTTTGACAAGCGCCAAATTTGCGAAGAAATTTTAAAAGATCTAGAGTTACGCTTCAACGTGATAAAGAATTTATTGAGTCTATTTTTTCTTAATGGTTTTATAACGATGTGTAATCTTAAAAAGCGTTTGGTACGCTCGGCATTTTGATTACTCCTGCAAGCGATGTTTATGAACGCCTGAAAACAAACGGCAAAGCGATGAAAATTACACTTTTGAGATTACCAACAATCAATAAAGAAACATAATTCGGTAGAACATTTACAGAGACAACAATTTTCATTCACGAAAACAAATGAGTATTCAAGTGTCTCTAAGAATCCTCAAGTCTTTACTAGTAAGCTTAAAGATTAAGTTTATGTTTTAAGCCGCCTGTTTCCCGGTGTTTGCTTTTTTTAAAGATGAACTCACGACAAGAAAATCGCTCAAAGCTTTCTTTCTACAGCCAAAATTATAACTAAATATTCTTCGGAAATTTTTCTCTTTCTATTTACGGTGAATTAATATCGGCTAAAGGCTTTTTAAAGTTTTGTAAGAACATCACAAATTGACTCAAAACTCTGTTAGCTTCAGCTGTCAAAGTAAACAACTTTCAAGATGCTGCATAAATTTTACGCATGAACTCACCTGTCAAATTTTAACCAATCAGAGCATAAAAATTGGACGTGGAGCGTGACCAACACGTGACCATGGTTAGAAAAGGTCTTACCCGCCTGTATTTTAAAAAAACTGGCTGAATTTTTGCGTCTGAGGTCAGTTTGAAATCAAAATCGTAATAGTGCGGGGCGATACTGACATAAACACAACATATTTGATATGAATTTAAAAAAATAAGTAAAGGTGAGCCTGCGATCATTTGAAAACGAGTAAATTGTCAGCGGATAACTTCAAAAAATACTCGACCTTAATGGGTCGACACCTGAGCCCGCGATACGGTCAGGTGATATTGGTCAGCGGATACCCTGTTTTGACAGCTGTCAATTGATGACGACATTGATGTGCAATCAGCTTTCTCCTGGGCTCCCAAAGTAGCTAGAAAGTGTGAGAGTAAACATTGGTATGCCTGTGGTGCGGACGGGCGGGCGGTTTGGCGGTGTATAGCAGGGCGGATAAAGGTTGGGCGGTGAAACGAGCGCTCCGCTCTTCATTTAATGTGTGATGCGGAGTAGGACTGGCACGAGCGCTCTTTCCGCGCTTCCGGTGCGCTTGAAGGCCGGCGAAATTTTCCTTTTTGCAAACCGGAAATCCTATTTTCTTTCTGTAATTTCAGGCTACAATGTTAAATAGATAAATTCGTTTCATAACAATATCAATAAACAGTTTCATATGTTTGTGACTGTAAGTCTATAGGTCAAACTTGTTGGTCGTATAATGCCAAAATTTGAGTTTAATTTGAAAGTGTTGAATACCTCCTCCTTCCACTAAATATCACCTAATCGTCTTTCACCGTTTCGTTTGTAAAAGCTTAACACTTCTTAACCTCAATTTTTAAATATGTTAAAGGGGGATAAATTTTATATAACATAACAAAAATTAGATTGATATATATTGATATAGTGGCGTTGTACTTCTTCAAACTTTGCTTCTCGTTTGCAACGCGACATGGCGATTCGCGCAATGCGTTGCAAATCCGGCAACCGAATGTAAACAAAATTTATTGAGGTTAGTTGTAAGGTTTTTTCTCCGTTTTTCTCTCTAAAACAAAACAAGGTAAACAGTAAAAACTGAGGGGAAACTAATTTTGAAGTTTCGAAGAAACAGAAAGACGTATGAGAAGTATTTTCAAAATTAAAAAGAAGGATGATGGTGATTGAAATTAGCATAATTTCACCTTGCACGAGCTGCACGCATTTATAAAATATACGTCATCTAGTTATGAAACACGATCTGCTGTCTTTTAGTTTTGCCATGGATGACATGGATGAGATTTTCCTTTGTGCTTTAGACAGTACTTAGTTGTTTTTGTTTTGGAATAACATCGACATTGGCGAGTAGCAGAACGAAAATATAATTCAGTGGTAGAGTCATGGAAGTAATAAAAGAAACCCTTTGAAAGAGATGTTTGTCTACTCCAACTAAACCTCCCGCAAAAAATAGCAACATTTGCCTCTCGGAGACAGCGTACCAGCACAAAGGAACGAGGAAGAAGTGCAAGAAACAAATCAAGGCGCCATAATTCAGTGACAGCGGCAGTGTCTTATGTACAAACCACATCGCAAGCCCCGACCGAAGTCGAAGACAAGCCACACTTCTAAACATAGTCCCAGTCCACTGCATCACACCTTTTTGCTCGGACGCGCTCGTTTCACCGCCCTACCTTTATCCGCCCTGGTGTATAGCCTGCGTGGCAGGCGTTTGAAGGGGAAGGGAAAGGGAGCTTTGGGAAAGGGAGTTTTAGGCGCGAGAGAAACGCCCAAAACTCCCTTTCCTAAAACTCCCTTTCCCTTCCCTTTCAAACGCCAGCCACGCAGGCTAGGAGGTGTACGGTCCCGTGATTACCAAATTTTCTGGGATGGTTAGATTTACTTACCCATGGTGCTCATATAAACTACACTGGCACCCTGTGAAATTGACATTATTAAAACGTGCACGAAATTGAGCTAAAGTGGTCGAGGATTTGATAGACCTATTCGGCTAACTCAATGTTGTACCCAATTCAAATCTCCTGGGATTAAGATTCTTTGTGTATTGATTTGCACTATAATGCGGCATTCACATTTAAATGATATGGAAATTCCTGAAACAAAACGTTTTATTCCCAAAGGGTTTGAATTGGGTACAACATTGTGTTATTGCAGTTGGAATTTGAAACTTGCCCCAGTTCTCTACGCTACTCTGAAATACGTACGTGACGTTTACGTCATTTGTAATGCTTTCGTAATGCGCCATTTTTACACAGATCGAGTGGCTCACACGGCTAGAGTCATTTCCTCACGATTGCGATTGTTGTTCGTCTACTTCTCTTTATAAACGGTCGTGCATTTTGATCTTCCACCTTGCGGTTTGGTTTTCACAGTCATCACATTGTTTGATGTCTATTTGGTCGCTTTTGGTGAGTGTGGGTTTGATTTGCTGTATTGGCAGCGTCCATTCTCAATCATGCTTCTGGGATTCTGACTGCGACGGTGGGATTTGTTGTTTGAGAGGGAACTGGTTCAACAGAACGTGCAGTCCGAGGGGAGCCAGTTGTCCGTGTCAATTTAACAGCGATTGCAAGTCAGGGGAAAGATGCAATTGGTTAAGAGATGTATGCGAGAAGAGAAATGTCCCTTCTTTTCCGACATATAAACCTTACACGTTCAACATTCGGACAATAACCCCACTCGATGTTCCTACTTTCGATCCTTTTCCTGATTGCGTGCTTGACAGCGACTGCTTCGGAAGCAGGAAATGTAAGTACGGACAGTGCAGACACTATAGCAGTGGAACTAGTAGTAGAGGGTTGTTGAGTGGAGGTAAACTCATGGGAATCGTGTTAACTGCCATAGTAGCGACGACAATATCCTGCATTTATTACGCGTGTAAAAGAAGCAGAAAACCACCAAATCTGCCCTCGCGAAATGTAAATATAAACGCACCACCAACAGGTGTAGAGGCATCTAGAAGAAACGATCATGAAATGCAAGCAGGGAATGTTGGAACAATTAACCTGCGAGCAAGCGATCATTCTGAAAGTACCAACTCAACTGTAGTGGTTGTTGAAGACGAAACCCCATTGCCACCTGGTGCTCCCCCACCTTACAGCTCACTGCAATTCGAGGCTCGACAAGGAAGTGAGAGTCTTTCAGATCAATCCCCACCAAGTTATGACGAAGCCATAAGAAATTTGACTTCGACTTAGAACACGTAACCTTGGGTGCCAGAGGTTTTTCCTTCCTCCGATAACGACAGTCTCGGGGTCTTTATCGAACCGTTCGCTTCATGATAGTTTTATAACGAACATGTGGATCTAGGATACTTTGGGACATAAATAGATTAAAACAGCTTGTAATTAATTTAGTTCGAACGCCACCGTAAATGAGAGCTGGATTAAGTAGGTGTGCTGCGTAAGCACGTTTTGTTTAGGAGAAAGCTTGTGTTTATGAATTGTATCAGCCAATATAAGTCAATGAAATATGAGTCAGGTTAGAGTTAGGCGACTATCCTTTTACGTATTTTCAACATGTCAATATTCAGTGGTTGGCAGTCACACATCTTACTTAGGACACGTGAGTAACCCATTGTTTCTTGCAGGATTTTAAAGCAATGACAATACAGGGTCACTTTTGAAGTTACGTTGTGTTGGTGGTGGCCCATTGGCTTGGCAATGGATTAATGCATGGGCATACCCTTGGGATATGCAATTTTTTTCTTTCCTGGTGGTGTATTCCCCACTCTTGGGCACATACAAGAAGACAATTCTCCACCCCCTTTTGAGAGCCATGGCGATTTCCAAACAATAGCAGAACAAGACATTTTCAGAACTTTTACAAATGTTTTCTAGAGCTTTAGGAGAGAAGGATAATACATGTATGTGGTTAAAACATGAACATTACATTTGAAAACAAAGAGAAAAAAAACTCTAAATTGTGTCCTTGATAGAACGCTTCATTAGAACACTGGACTGAATCTCTGTTTATTTATATAATTATATTTAACAGTCTTGATTTGTCCCACCCCCTTACCCCCTGGAAAGGAATGCCTTAAACAATTCCCCAACCCCGGGCCCAGATGGCTGGACTTGTCCTGGGGGTTGCCTGGTGGGGGGCAGAAAATTGAACCATGCCCAAACAGACAAGGAAGTAAATTACATAATTGTGTGACAGGTGTTAGATCATATTCCCTACAGCTACATCTGGCTAAACCTAGCTAGTTATATACTACATAATAGTTTATAAATTTTCTTGAACTACCTGTTAATAACCCACAAAAATACAAAAGAAAACAGGGGAGGAAGCATTACAGACACCTAAAAATTATGGGAGAGGGGAGAGTCAAAATCAAGTATTTAAGTGGCTAATAACTATACGATGCAACCACTTCTCCCTCGGTGTGGGACAAATGCAGACTGCAGACTGGCAGGTGAACATTGTTGTCAAATGCTTTAACAGATTCCCTATCCCTAAACTAGACTTTTAGAGGACTTTAAGTTTAAGGTTGCAATGTTTACCTCATTTACCTGCCATTCTGCAAGTCTGCAGTCTGCTTTGTCACGCACTGCTACTCCCTTACCCCAGGGCTACACAATGTTAGACTGATTCTGTTTAAAAGAAGCACAGTACTCAAAAAGTATTGTTTATCTGATATCCCAGCTCCAAGAAATGATCTACTGAGACTCTGGTAGGTAGTCACTGAGTAGATGTTGGCCACTATAAGAGGTGCATTTGAAATTCTGTTGTTGCACCTGAAACTGGCGTAAGAATTATTGAGATAATTGTTTTATGTATTGATGACTTGTTACTACAACAGTCAATTTGAGGAAAGTTGTGAGAAATTAATGAAATATATGTTTGTACAGTAATATGTTGAGAAGTTTTCTTTAGTTAATTAAATGACTGCATGAAGGAATGAATTTGATAACTACATGAATCCGTGTCTCGTTTTTCAAGCTCACACGCAAATTAACACCCCAGGGATTCTCATGAGAGGAGTTTTCTTATTCAAGGGGTATAAATAATTTATGCCCCTAAATAAGACAAGCATCCCCACTCCTCTTTTTGGCTGTTCTAAAACACTTATGCGTTCTCACATTCTGGAATGTCCTCTTTTTGGTAGTTGATCATTTTTTGTCAGTTGGTTCTGGGGCAGTCAGAAAGTCAGAGAACTCTTGGAAGGTACAGTTGCTTGCCAAATATAATATTGATGTAGTGAGAGTTTCAAGCATCTCCAGAGATTTTTGGTTCCAGACCTCATGGCAATTATACACCAGGGGTGAGTTGTTCAAAGCTGGGTTAAGATAACCCAGGGTTAGTGCGAGATTTGAATTCAGATTTGAAAGCTTAAAAAGCATTTCAGTTTTATTTCTTTTCGTCCACAAGTTGATGATTGGAAGCTCTAAAAATAACAGAGAAAATTACCCGAGAAAATGCTTTTGGACGCCAGAAAATGAAACCCGTGTTAAATTTAACCCCGGGTTAAGCGCTAATCGACCTTCGAACAACTGGGCCCAGTATATTAGGGAAAGTTCATTTAATATGACAAGGGGGGGGGATGAAGATATTGAGGGGGGGCTCCGAAAATTTTTAGACACCCGAAGGGGGGGCTCTGAAAAAATTGTTGCGCTAGGAGGGGGGGCTCCGAAAATTTGTATACTTCAAAACCAACACATGACATCATCATACAGATCAGATGGTTTTCAACTCAACAATTTAATGACCTGTGCAACTCAGCTATATCACGTGGTTTACAGATATAACAAATGTAGTCTCAGTAATTATTACACTCTTGTTCATTCCAAAAATGCTTTAGAAAATTGTATCACAACTGTATCTCACGTTTGTCATAGTATAAACCATTGAAGGCAATAACGGTAGATATATTTAATACAGTTTAGCGATCTTTTTTCAGGGGAGCAAAGGAATTGAAGGAGGAGAGGGGGGGGGGCTCTGAAATTTTTTCGACTACCAAGGAGGGGGCTCCTAAAAAATTGAACCCCTAGCGAGGGGGGCTGCTAAAATTTCAAGCTTCGAGTTTCAATATCTTCATCCCCGCCCCTTGTCATATTAAATGAACTTTCCCTTAACAGGAAGTTATTCATTAGTTACATCCAGTGATTCTACTTGGATGTGAAAGCCCCCTGTGCTGAAAGAAGGAGATGAAGAACTAAAAGAAAGAAGAAAACATTCCATGACTACATTTTAAATCAAAATTGAAATGATATATTTGACTCTCTAATTCAGAATGGTATCTTTTATGAGTTAAACAAAGCTTGAGCCATGCACAGATTGGGTGAATTTCGGATGAACATTCTGACTCGTTTCACATGGATGTTCCATTGTAATTAAAGTTATACTTCTTCTGTACCAAGGGAGGGGGGAGGGGGCACTCAACAAAGTTTTATACATGAAGGCTCTTCTGTGAGGTCCATCCCCTTACCCTTTTATATATCATTTTTGACAGAAATCATGTACCCTTTTCATATACCTTCCAATTTTGACAATTTTGAAACACTGCACTCCTTTAAACTGCTGTATATTCACTGTCTTGTAAATATGGATTAACAAGTAAACCAGGAAGTTTTCTTTACTTATTAACAACCATAAAATAAATACATGGTCATACATCTTTTAACCCTTTTGGGCACTTTTACAGACCAAAATGACAGAGGTCCCTCTTGTTTCATATACCTCAATTAGTCAAATCCCTACCCTTTTATATACCTGAAGCCTGAAAAGGTGCCCCTTTTGTATAGGCCATTACAGGGAATAACCCCCCCCCCCCCCCGCCCCGAGAGGAGGGCCCCGAGTCACCTATAAAAACAAAAGTGAAATAAACAGCCAAAGAGGACCTCATAATGAATATTAGCCCAGTCACGCGATCATTTCAGACTGTAGCTGTTGATCAGTTTAAACCCATTAATATTTGGCGTTATTTTAAAGCTGTGGATGTTTTTTAATATCCCACAAAAACGTGAAACGTTTTCTAATTAGACTGCTTGGCCTTTTTTTCACTTTGACAGGGCCGTTAAATGTTTTATTCAACATAGTTCCCCTCTCGGCGAATTTTATTAATATGAACAATGTTGATGGCGATGCCAAGGTATGGCCTTCAAATGAGTATAACCCGCATGAATGAATGATGATTCCTGTGTAAAGCGTTTTTCGCCGTGCTGAGTTTAGGGACTTTAAGATCGATCCAACAACGCGGACGGTAACGAGAAAGTAAAAAAACAAGAGGTTTGATTAGCAAAACAACAACTTTTCACGTGCACCATGCTTTTTTGTACATTTCTCTGCCCGTTTTTGCACGACTAGGACATGAACATGCCTTATTTCGCGTTTTACGGAGGACGTAAACAAGCAACGACGAAATTTTGTTTCTCTTACTGTACTTGGATATGGTGCCTAGGAATTCAACTCCAGGAGGGTTCGCCTACATTTGAAAAAGTAAGTTGGTAGGAATAATTGCGATATAGACTGAAAGAACCGAAATTCACTATTTAAGCGACGTTCTCATTGCCGTCGCGTCGTTCGATCGTAAAGTCCCTTTTGTCACGCAACAAAGTAACTACAGACGTAAATAATCCGCAAACATAAATATTAATATGTCAGTGAGAGATGACTTAGCACTTTATACGTTTGCTGTTTGGATCTTTTATTTTATTTGCTGCCTTCAATTTAAATGGTTAACAAAAGAAAGTATCTTTTTCTCCTGTTTCATAAAAAATGCCGTGTTTTAACCCATACTGGTCATTTTAATAATTGTAACAAGATCGCGTGTCCCCTGTCGGTGTGTTGACTGTTCCAATTAGACAATTGCCAAATAGAACAGGGTGTCTTTCTTTATTAATAATCGATGCTATTTTAGCCGGCCCTATTTCCCGAACGTATAATTCGCTGAATTTCAATTCCCTGTACAGCGTGCTTATTCAAATCACTCGTCGCGTTACAAACAATGCCTGTAAATACGATCGTGTAAAGGACTTGTAATCTGAACCTTGCGTGCATAAAATTTTTTCGCGGCTCACGCACCCATGACGGCAAGTCCAACGGCGATGAAACAGGGATGAAAGGATTTTGCCAATTTTGGTTCCTCCTTCTTGTCGTTAGTACTTCAGTTATAAATGTTCCATGTTCCACTTGTTCAAATAACGGGGACTGTACAAATCATGGCGAGATTTGTTGTCTTAGTGACTTCACTTGC